AGAGACCAGAGAGAGACCAGAGAGAGACCAGAGAGAGAGGCCAGAGAGAGACCAGAGAGAGACCAGAGAGAGACCAGAGAGAGAGACCAGAGAGAGACCAGAGAGAGACCAGAGAGAGACCAGAGAGAGACCAGAGAGAGAGACCAGAGAGAGACCAGAGAGAGACCAGAGAGAGACCAGAGAGAGACCAGAGAGAGACCAGAGAGAGACCAGAGAGAGACCAGAGAGAGAGACCAGAGAGAGACCAGAGAGAGACCAGAGAGAGACCAGAGAGAGACCAGAGAGAGAGACCAGAGAGAGACCAGAGAGAGACCAGAGAGAGACCAGAGAGAGAGACCAGAGAGAGACCAGAGAGAGACCAGAGAGAGACCAGAGAGAGACCAGAGAGAGACCAGAGAGAGACCAGAGAGAGAGACCAGAGAGAGACCAGAGAGAGACCAGAGAGAGACAAGAGAGAGACCAGAGAGAGACCAGAGAGAGCAGAGAGAGAGACCAGAGAGAGGGACCAGAGAGGGACCAGAGAGAGACCAGAGAGAGACCAGAGAGAGACGAGAGAGACCAGAGAGAGACCAGAGAGAGACCAGAGAGAGACCAGAGAGAGACCAGAGAGAGACCAGAGAGAGACCAGAGAGAGACCAGAGAGAGACCAGAGAGAGAGACCAGAGAGAGACCAGAGAGAGACCAGAGAGAGACCAGAGAGAGACCAGAGAGAGACCAGAGAGAGACCCGAGAGAGACCAGAGAGAGACCAGAGAGAGAGACCCAGAGAGAGACCAGAGAGAGACCCAGAGAGAGAGACCAGAGAGAGACCAGAGAGAGACCAGAGAGAGACGAGAGAGAGACCAGAGAGAGAGACCAGAGAGAGACCAGAGAGAGACCAGAGAGAGACCAGAGAGAGAGACCAGAGAGAGACCAGAGAGAGACCAGAGAGAGACCAGAGAGAGACCAGAGAGAGACCAGAGAGAGACCAGAGAGAGACCAGAGAGAGCAGAGAGAGAGACCAGAGAGAGACCAGAGAGAGACCAGAGAGAGACCAGAGAGAGACCAGAGAGAGAGAGAGAGACCAGAGAGAGAGACCAGAGAGAGACCAGAGAGAGACCAGAGAGAGACCAGAGAGAGACCAGAGAGAGACCCGAGAGAGACCCGAGAGAGACCAGAGAGAGACCAGAGAGAGAGACCAGAGAGAGACCAGAGAGAGATCAGAAAGAGACCAGAGAGAGAGACCAGAGAGAGACCAGAGAGAGACCAGAGAGAGACGAGAGAGAGACCAGAGAGAGAGACCAGAGAGAGACCAGAGAGAGACCAGAGAGAGAGACCAGAGAGAGACCAGAGAGAGACCAGAGAGAGACCAGAGAGAGAGACCAGAGAGAGAGAGAGAGACCAGAGAGAGACAAGAGAGAGACCAGAGAGACCAGAGAGAGAGACCAGAGAGAGACCAGAGAGAGACCAGAGAGAGACCAGAGAGAGACCAGAGAGAGAGACCAGAGAGAGACGAGAGAGACCAGAGAGAGACAAGAGAGAGACCAGAGAGAGACCAGAGAGAGACCAGAGAGAGACCAGAGAGAGAGACCAGAGAGAGACCAGAGAGAGACCCGAGAGAGACCCGAGAGAGACCAGAGAGAGACCAGAGAGAGAGAGAGAGAGACCAGAGAGAGACACCAGAGAGAGACACCAGAGAGAGAGACCAGAGAGAGACCAGAGAGAGACCAGAGAGAGAGACCAGAGAGAGACCAGAGAGAGACAAGAGAGAGACAAGAGAGAGACCAGAGAGAGACCAGAGAGAGACCAGAGAGAGACCAGAGAGACCAGAGAGACCATAGAGAGACAAGAGAGAGACCAGAAAGAGACCAGAGAGAGACCAGAGAGAGACTAGAGAGAGACCAGAGAGAGAGAGACCAGAGAGAGACCAGAGAGAGAGACCAGAGAGAGACTAGAGAGAGAGACCAGAGAGAGACCAGAGAGAGAGACCAGAGAGAGACCAGAGAGAGAGACCAGAGGGAAACCAGAGAGAGACCGGAGAAAGAGACAAAGGAGAGACCAGAAAGAGCGACATAGTACAAGATTGGTCATTCAAATGTGCTATATAAATAATCCCTACTTACAGCACGGCGCCTCTGGGGAGAGCTTTGACCTGCCTCTCCAGAGCTCGGTCTCCTCGGAGTCATGTGACCTGCCTCTCCAGAGCTCGGTCTCCTCGGAGTCATGTGACCTGCCTCTCCAGAGCTCGGTCTCCTCGGAGTCATGTGACCTGCCTCTCCAGAGCTCGGTCTCCTCGGAGTCACGTGACCTGCCTCTCCAGAGCTCGGTCTCCTCGGAGTCCGACTCTGGTGGAGCTCCACAGGTTGCAGATCAATGTTGAGATTTAAAAAGCCACGTCGTCCATAGATTATGGCGCCTTAATCACGCTCGCTCCCACACGGCGCGGCCCTCGTGGCGTGCTCCCTCACGGCGCCCGGGGCCCGCCGCCGCCGCTGACCTTTGGGATCAGCCCCTCGCTCCTCAAGACTTCAAGAGGAGCTCACGATTGAAGTCTAATCTTTGATATCCTCTGAAGATGTGTGAGTGTGTGTGCGCGCGTGTGTGTTTATATGTGTGAGTGTGTGTGCGCGCGTGTGTGTTTATATGTGTGAGTGTGTGTGTGTGTTTTTGTGTGCGTGTGTGTTTCTGTGTGTGTGTCTGCCTCCCGGGGTTAAGGAGCCAAAGGTCCCGGGGGTATTAGAGGCGCGCTGAGGCGTCCGTGGCACCTCTGGCGGAGTTCAGTGGGACGACCTGCGGAGAGAAGGCATTTGAACTGGGAACACTCTGATAAACACACAAACAAGTGTGTGTCTGAGTGTGTGTGTGTGTGTGTGTGTGTGTGAGAGAGAGACCAGAGAGAGACCAGAGGGAGACCAGAGAGAGAGACCAGAGAGAGAGACCAGAGAGAGACCAGAGAGAGACCAGAGAGAGAGACCAGAGAGAGACCAGAGAGAGAGACCAGAGAGAGAGACCAGAGAGAGAGACCAGAGAGAGACCAGAGATAGACCAGAGAGAGAGACCAGAGAGAGAGACCAGAGAGAGACCAGAGAGAGAGACCAGAGAGAGAGACCAGAGAGAGAGACCAGAGAGAGAGACCAGAGAGAGAGACCAGAGAGAGAGACCAGAGAGAGAGACCAGAGAGAGAGACCAGAGATTGCTGATCTAGAGGAGTTGTTAATGTTAGTTCAATGTAAATAGGGTAAGAGCCAAACTTCCCCATGAGCACTTCCCTATTCCCTACAGTCTAAGGCTCTGTAGTCATCTCTTACTCCATTTTACACGTTTATCACCGTAATCTCGTTAAATCGTTCTGAATATTTGTTCTTTGTGAAGAAATGTACGAACAGAGACGGCGTTTGATGAAACACATTCTGCCCCAGACTTGGAACTGAAAAGAATAGTTTCACCAAGGTCCACGGTCCACGGCCCACGGACCAATCACGATCCAAGGCCCACGGACCAATCACGATCCAAGGCCCACGGACCAATCACGATCCAAGGCCCACGGACCAATCACAGCCCAAGGCCCACAGACCAATCACGATCCAAGGCCCACAGACCAATCACGGCCACCGCTCTCCCTCTGGGTTCGTGTGGCTCTGGTCAGTGTGTGGACCAGGTCTGAGCAAGAATGTCCAACGGAAGATTCCAGAGAGAGGCTCGAGGAGAGAGACACACACAGGGAGAGACACACACAGGGAGAGACACACACAGGGAGAGACACACACAGGGAGAGAGACACACACAGGGAGAGACACACACAGGGAGAGACACACACAGGGAGAGAGACACACACAGGGAGAGACACACACAGGGAGAGACACACACAGGGAGAGACACACACAGGGAGAGAGACACACACAGGGAGAGACACACACAGGGAGAGACACACACAGGGAGAGAGACACACACAGGGAGAGACACACAGGGAGAGACACACACAGGGAGAGAGACACACAGGGAGAGACACACACAGGGAGAGACACACACAGGGAGAGACACACACAGGGAGAGAGACACACAGGGAGAGAGACACACAGGGAGAGAGACACACAGGGAGAGCGACACACACTGGGAGAGAGACACACACAGGGAGAGACACACACAGGGAGAGACACACACAGGGAGAGAGACACACAGGGAGAGAGACACACACAGGGAGAGACACACACAGGGAGAGAGACACACACAGGGAGAGACACACACAGGGAGAGACACACACAGGGAGAGACACACAGGGAGAGACACACAGGGAGAGACACACACAGGGAGAGACACACACAGGGAGAGAGACACACACAGGGAGAGAGACACACACAGGGAGAGACACACACAGGGAGAGAGACACACAGGGAGAGACACACACAGGGAGAGAGACACACACAGGGAGAGACACACACAGGGAGAGAGACACACAGGGAGAGAGACACACACAGGGAGAGAGACACACACAGGGAGAGCGACACACACAGGGAGAGACACACACAGGGAGAGACACACACTGGGAGAGACACACAGGGAGAGACACACACAGGGAGAGACACACACAGGGAGAGAGACACACACAGGGAGAGAGACACACAGGGAGAGAGACACACACAGGGAGAGAGACACACACAGGGAGAGCGACACACACAGGGAGAGACACACACAGGGAGAGACACACACAGGGAGAGCGACACACACAGGGAGAGACACACACAGGGAGAGACACACACTGGGAGAGACACACAGGGAGAGACACACAGGGAGAGACACACACAGGGAGAGACACACACAGGGAGAGACACACACAGGGAGAGAGACACACACAGGGAGAGACACACACAGGGAGAGAGACACACACAGGGAGAGACACACACAGGGAGAGACACACACAGGGAGAGACACACACACAGGGAGAGACACACACACACACTGAGTACAATGACACTGTCTCTCGTCACTTTGTTGCTCGTCTAAACTTTGTTGTAAAACCGCGGGAGCTGCCAGGCGCCGCACACACTTCACACACACCGCACACACACTTCACACACACCGCACACACACTTCACACACACTTCACACACACCGCACACACACTTCACACACACCGCACACACACTTCACACACACTTCACACACACCGCACACACATCTCTGCACACACCGCACACACACTTCACACACACCGCACACACACTTCACACACACACATCTCTGCACACACCGCACACACACTTCACACACACCGCACACACATCTCTGCACACACATCTCTGCACACACACTTCACACACACCACACACACACATCTCTGCACACACATCTCTGCACACACACTACACACACACCGCACACACATCTCTGCACACACACTTCACACACACCGCACACACATCTCTGCACACACACTTCACACACACCGCACACACACGTCACACACACCGCACACACATCTCTGCACACACACTTCACACACACCGCACACACACTTCACACACACCGCACACACATCTCTGCACACACACTTCACACACACCGCACACACACTTCACACACACCGCACACACATCTCTGCACACACACCGCACACACCGCACACACATCTCTGCACACACACTTCACACACACCGCACACACATCTCTGCACACACACCGCACACACCGCACACACATCTCTGCACACACACTTCACACACACCGCACACACACTTCACACACACCGCACACACATCTCTGCACACACACTTCACACACACCGCACACACATCTCTGCACACACACTTCACACACACCGCACACACATCTCTGCACACACTGCGGCACCTGTGAACTTTCCGAGCGGGTTCTGGCCCCGGTCCCTGTTGGGTTCTCTCCCCACAGTCACACACCGGCTCTGGACCCAGAGAGAAGAGACGAAAGAGAATATCCAAGTGCACAGCAAACGCCCTCATCAAATATGGAGGACACACACACTGGTATGACATGACAACACACACACACACACACACACACACATACAGGCATACACACACACATACAGGCAGACACACACACACAGACACACACACACATACAGGCATACACACACACATACAGGCAGACACACACACACAGACACACATACAGGCATACACACACACACATACACACACACACATACAGGCATACACACACACACACATACAGGCATACACACACACACACACACACACATACAGGCATACACACACACACACACAGAGACACATGGGCACACACACACACACACACACACACACGGGCACACACACACACACACACACACAGGCATATACACACACAGACACACGTGCACACTCACATACACACGTGCACACTCACATACACACACATGCGCTCACATACACACGTGCACACTCACATACACACACATGCACACTCACATACACACACATGCGCTCACACACACAAGTGTACGCTCACAGACATGCACTTACACACACACGTGCACACTCACATACACACACATGCGCTCACATACACACGTGCACACTCACATACACACACATGCGCTCACACGTGCACACTCACATACACACACGTGCACACTCACATACACACACATGCGCTCACACACACACGTGCACGCTCACATACACACACGTGCACTTACACACACACGTGCACACTCACATACACACACATGCGCTCAGATACACACGTGCACACTCACATACACACATGCGCTCACATACACACGTGCACACTCACATACACACACATGCACTTACACACACACGTGCACACACACATACACACACATACGCTCACATACACACACATGCGCTCACATACACACGTGCACACTCACATACACACACATGCACTTACACACACACGTGCACACTCACATACGCTCACATACACACACATGCGCTCACATACACACATGCACACTCACATACACACACATGCGCTCACACACACACGTGCACACTCACATACACACACATGCACTTACACACACACGTGCACACACACATACACACACATACGCTCACATACACACACATGCGCTCACATACACATGTGCACACTCACATACACACACATGCACTTACACACACACGTGCACACTCACATACGCTCACATACACACACATGCGCTCACATACACACATGCACACTCACATACACACACATGCGCTCACACACACACGTGCACACTCACATACACACACATGCACTTACACACACACGTGCACACACACATACACACACATACGCTCACATACACACACATGCGCTCACATACACACGTGCACACTCACATACGCTCACATACACGCAATCACGTACTAGCCCCATGTGAGGACGACACCATGGAAGATAAAAGTGCCTTTGAGCTCTGCCCTCAGGCTGAGTTTGACAAAGCCGCGGCGGTAAACGCACTGCAAACAACACAACATGCTCTTGTGGCTTAAACAACAGTTACTGGTGTTATCTGTCCTGGTTTTGGTGCTAAAGGAGACGTACAGTTGATAGTTTTGCACACATGGTTCTCTCGTAAAAAGCAGTTGAAATCAATTTTAATGTCAAAAAGCACACAAACATATTCTCTTCTGTCCAAATCCTCTTTTAAACTTGTGACGCCTCAGACTATGCTGTCTCTGAGTTTTGGCTGCATACAGAGGGAGCTTTACGAAGCCCTGAAGGGAAGTGCTCATGGTGAAGTTTTGCCCCAACTCATTCTGGCTCCTATTAACTTACATGTAAAACTAAAGTCCTTCAGGCAAGTAATCATTTGTGCCACTCTCACCAGATTTATCAGTGATACTAAACTAGAAATACTTTATTGATCCCGAAGTAAAGTGTGCACAGGTACAGGTGCCATAGATGAGCACAGGTACAGGTGCCATAGATGAGCACAGGTACAGGTGTCATAGATGAGCACAGGTACAGGTGTCATAGATGAGCACAGGTACAGGTGTCATAGATGAGCACAGGTACAGGTGTCATAGATGAGCACAGGTACAGGTGGCATAGATGAGCACAGGTACAGGTGTCATAGCCGCGGTTATCAAACCCCTTCTGAAGAAAACAAACCTGGACCCAGAAATACTTACAAACTACAGACCGATCTCAAACCTCACTTTTATATCTAAAATCCTGGAAAAACTTATAGCTGAGCAGCTTCGCTGCCACCTGCAGGAAAATGATATGTTTGAAGTCTTTCAATCAGGATTCAGAGCTCAACATAGACTGAAACGGCACTAGTCAAAGTCACAAATGACTTACTACTAGCTGCTGATAATGGACAAGTGTCAGTGCTGGTCCTACTGGACCTTAGTGCTGCATTTGACACAATAGACCACAGCATTCTACTGCAGAGGCTAGAATGTGATATAGGTCTTAGAGGAACAGCCCTTGGCTGGTTTAAATCCTATTTATCAGATCGGTATCACTTCGTCAACGTAAATCAGAACTCGTCGCCTTATTCTGGAGTAGAATTCGGTGTGCCGCAGGGTTCGGTACTCGGACCGATTCTTTTCACTCTCTACATGCTGCCGTTAGGAAACATTATTAAAAAGCATGGAATTAATTTCCACTGCTATGCAGATGACACACAGCTTTATCTGTCAATGAAGCCTAATCAGACAGATCAGCTAGAAAAGCTCAGTGCCTGCATAAAGGACCTTAAAATGTGGATGACTCTTAACTTCCTACTTCTCAACCCGGAGAAGACAGAAGTGATCCTACTCGGTCCGAAGCGCCTGCGTGACTCCCTCACTAACCAGATAATTACTCTGATAATGTCAGTATTATACCCAGTAACACTGTGAGGAATCTTGGAGTCATTTTTGACCAAGAACTCTCCTTCAAGGCTTATATAAGCCAAGCAACTAAAACGGCGTACTTCCACTTACGGAACATCGCTAAAATTAGGAATATTCTTCCTAAAAGTGACGCGGAAAAACTCATTCACGCGTTTGTCACCTCAAGGCTCGACTACTGTAACGCTTTACTGGCAGCGTGCCCTAAAGCCTCTTTGAAGAGCTTCCAGCTCGTTCAGAATACAGCAGCTAGGATCTTAACAGGTACCAAAAGGAGGGAGCACATAACTCCGGTGTTAAAATCACTCCACTGGCTCCCTGTGGAGTACAGAATAAAGTTTAAAATCCTACTCTTAACATATAAAGCCATAAATGGCTTGGCTCCTTCTTATCTCCAAGACACGTTAGTGTCGTATCAACCAAGTCGAGCGTTGCGCTCACAAAACGCCAGACGGCTGGTGGTCCCTAATGCCTAGCGTACATCGACAGAGAAACTGGGGACAACTAGTTGCAAGGCGGCTTTTGGCAACTGAGAGGAGATGATGGAGATGATCAGTTGCCGAAATCGGTCGATGTGCGCGCTCTTACAACTGGAGATGATCAGTCGGTCTCCAGTTTCAGTCAGTTGCCCGTGTTCTACTTTTCGGCAACTAGTTGTCCTCAGTTGCTCCGATGTGCGCGCTCCATGCGCCGCTCCGACAACGTGTGTGTATTGCGTGTATAGCGCGCCCGCAACAGTTTATGTCAGAAACACACTGTAGTTGAGGCCAGTTGCTGTCGATGTACGCGCTGTTATTCAAGAGACTGGCCTGCGACTCAGAGTTGCCCGTTTTCGCCAGATTGTCGATGTGTGCGGGGCAGCAACTCAGAGGCGACGGATATAATCAGTTGCCAGTCCGATGTACGCTAGGCTTAAGGTCTCAAAAATCACTGTTGGTGGCAGAGCATTTAGCTCCAAGCTCCTTTACTGTGGAATCAGCTTCATTTATGTTAAGGAAGCAGATACGGTCTCCACATTCAAGGCCAGGCTTAAAGCACTCTACTTTAATTTAGCATATAATTAGGTCATATATAATATATGGTATATATTATATATGTATGCTGTATTATGTTATATATTATACAATAATGTATTGTGTTATGTTGTATATTATGTTATATATTATGCTGTATGTTATGTTGTGTATTATATATGATATATATGGTATGTATGGTATATATGATGTATATGATATATAATATATAATTAGGTTTGCTTGGATCGGTTTGCACACCTGGTGTGCAATCCATGAATCTCTTTATTCAAGGCTAGGTTTAAAACAGTCCTCTTTAGTTTAGCATATGGTTAGGAAGGTAAGACTCAGGGAAGGCTAAACTCCTCAGACTGTCAGTCAAGCTGCATAGGGCGCCCCCTGCTGGAGAAGTATGGTAACTTGAGCACTATCCTCTCCTCCTTCCTACTTTATCTGTTTAGCATTTTTAGGATTCTGACTGTAGTTTGTTCATTGCCATTCACCCGTTGTCCCATTGTCTGTTTCATGGTACGATGACGGGATCTCTGAGCCTGGCCTCCTCCATCTACACCTGCGGACTGCCCCGCCCGACCCGCCTGGGAGTGCTTCAGTCCTGCACCGGACCTGTCCACGTTCAGCGGCCACTGGTCCACGTCCTGTAGCTAGCTTAGGTCCTGGATCATTAGCCTGTCCGTCCGGAGGAGCGGATCCCTTTCTCATATGGGTCTCCCTCCCTGTGGGTTTCCCTAGTGCTCCCCAAGGTTTCTCACTTTTTCCCACTGGGTTTTTTAAGAGTTGTTCCTTGTCGATGCCGGAGGGTCTTGTTGGACAGTTAGTGTCCAACAGAAAGGATTGGTGATGATCAGGACACTTTAGCATTCTACAACATGTATGGACATTTTCTTCTGTGTGTGCTTTATATTCTTCATGTGTTTTAACTGTTGATTCTCTGACCTGTGTTGGTGATTTCAATGGTTTTGTTAAGTCCTCTGAGATGATACTGTTGTGACCTAGGGCTATACAACTATAAATTGTATTGTATTGTTGTATTGTCATAGATGAGCACAGGTACAGGTGGCATAGATGAGCACAGGTACAGGTGTCATAGATGAGCACAGGTACAGGTGTCATAGATGAGCACAGGTACAGGTGGCATAGATGAGCACAGGTACAGGTGTCATAGATGAGCACAGGTACAGGTGGCATAGATGAGCACAGGTACAGGTGTCATAGATGAGCACAGGTACAGGTGTCATAGATGAGCACAGGTACAGGTGGCATAGATGAGCACAGGTACAGGTGTCATAGATGAGCACAGGTACAGGTGGCATAGATGAGCACAGGTACAGGTGACATAGATGAGCACAGGTACAGGTGTCATAGATGAGCACAGGTACAGGTGTCATAGATGAGCACAGGTACAGGTGCCATAGATGAGCACAGGTACAGGTGTCATAGATGAGCACAGGTACAGGTGTCATAGATGAGCACAGGTACAGGTGCCATAGATGAGCACAGGTACAGGTGTCATAGATGAGCACAGGTACAGGTGTCATAGATGAGCACAGGTACAGGTGTCATAGATGAGCACAGGTACAGGTGTCATAGATGAGCACAGGTACAGGTGTCATAGATGAGCACAGGTACAGGTGGCATAGATGAGCACAGGTACAGGTGTCATAGATGAGCACAGGTACAGGTGCCATAGATGAGCACAGGTACAGGTGTCATAGATGAGCACAGGTACAGGTGACATAGATGAGCACAGGTACAGGTGCCATAGATGAGCACAGGTACAGGTGTCATAGATGAGCACACGTACAGGTGTCATAGATGAGCACAGGTACAGATGACATAGATGAGCACAGGTACAGGTGTCATAGATGAGCACAGGTACAGGTGTCATAGATGAGCACAGGTACAGATGACATAGATGAGCACAGGTACAGGTGACATAGATGAGCACAGGTACAGGTGTCATAGATGAGCACAGGTACAGGTGCCATAGATGAGCACAGGTACAGGTGTCATAGATGAGCACAGGTACAGGTGTCATAGATGAGCACAGGTACAGATGACATAGATGAGCACAGGTACAGGTGCCATAGATGAGCACAGGTACAGGTGTCATAAATCAATACATAGGTACAAGTTTTTGCGTTTAAATGATTTGAGTGGATGGATTTCTGGTTCTCTCCAATGACCTCTCCCCGGGACACTGCAGCCCGTGCTGGGTGTGACCTTGGTGGTCCTTGCTGGTCCTTGCTGGTGCCCGCTGGTCCTTGTTTGCTGCTGGGGCGGGTGGTCATGGGGGGAGGGTCCATATGGGTGAGGCCGAGCGACAAACGAGCGGTATTTCCGGGGGTGAGGCACACTTTGCTCCTCACAGCGGCGCTGGGCCGTCTGCGCTGCATATGTGCTCCTTCGCCCCTCTCTTGGCCTGGGACCGGGGACTCTGGCCTGCCACCTTACCCAGGGCAAGGGCTGCATATGTCGGGGAGGTGGGCAGTGAGGAGGGGGGTCAGCAGCAGATGGTGGAGCCCCCAGGCCGTCACTGGTGTGTGTGTGTGTGTGAGCGTGCAAGTATGTGTGTGTATGCGTGTGTGTATGTGTGTGTTTAGGCCTGTAAGTGTCTGTGTACATGCGTGTGTGTGTGTGTGTGTGTGTATGTGTTGTATGCTTGAGTGTATAGGCCTGCAAGTGTGTGTGTATGCATGTGTGTGTCTACGTGTGTGTGTATGCATGTGTGTGTCTACGTGTGTGTGTATGCATGTGTGTATAGGCCTGCAAGTGTGCGTGTGTGTCCTGGTCCTCATAACTCTCACTTCCAGTTCCAGGTCTACTCTCTCTCTCCGTTTTTTGGCCACGACACAATTTAAAGTCCTTTTGAGTCAGTTAGTGAAACACACTCAAGTATTTGTACAGAAATGTCTCATGTTTGTGTTTATGAAGTAGCACCAAAGAGCCGCACCAGCAGACACAAGAACATCAAACTATTTTCTGTACAAAAACAAAAATAAACCATATTTTCGGCGGCTCAGTCGTTCAGAAGAAGAACCAGGGGAGAGCAGGGCATCATCTCCCAAACCTGAGGACCATGGACCATCCCAGACCATGTGGAAGTATCCTCCCAATAGCTCCATCATGGAACAACGTGCAAGTTAGTGTGTGTGTGTATAATAATGATAATAATAATGATAATGCACCAATCTTATTTTGGACTCAAAGTCCAAAGTTCACATAATTGTTCATTCTCTCCAAACACACTGGTGATAAACTACTATTGTAGCCACAGCTGCCCTGGGGCACACTGACAGAAGCCCCTCCCACCATTCACACACACCAGACTCATTCTACTGTGGGGGAAGTGTCGTCCTGGTCCATCCTCTCGTCCTGGGTCCTCTCGGGGACAGAGGAGACTGAGGCGTGTCCTCCACAGCTCTGTCCAAGACGCTCGTCCACGCTCTGAATCCTGCCCCTGACTCCTGCAGCCATGATGTGATGTCACGCTCTATATGCCCCATCCTCCACGGGACAGGGCCCTGCCACACTGGCCCTGCCACACCTGCCCTGCCACACCGGCCCCTGTCCCGGTGTGAGGAGTCCTACTGTTTCCATGGAGACAGTGTGGGACAAACATACAAGTCATAATTGTAGTGTGAGGCTGTGGTCTTTCATGAATATTACTAAATAAAAAACGGTTTTGTCCGAACAGAAAGAGTCTTCAATTTGATGTCTCTGGTGTCCTGTCTCTGTCTGGTCTCTGGTGTCCTGTCTCTCTCTGGTGTCCTGTCTCTCTCTGATCTCTGGTGTCCTGTCTCTCTCTGGTGTCCTGTCTCTCTCTGGTGTCCTGTCTCTCTCTGATCTCTGGTGTCCTGTCTCTCTCTGGTGTCCTGTCTCTCTCTGGTGTCCTCTCTGGTGTCCTGTCTCTCTCTGGTGTCCTCTCTGGTGTCCTGTCCCTCTCTGGTGTCCTCTCTGGTGTCCTCTCTGGTGTTCTGTCTCTCTCTGGTCTCTGGTGTTCTGTCTCTCTCTGGTCTCTGGTTTCCTGTCCCTCTCTGGTGTCCTCTCTGGTGTTCTGTCTCTCTCTGGTCTCTGGTGTCCTGTCCCTCTCTGGTGTCCTCTCTGGTGTTCTGTCTCTCTCTGGTCTCTGGTGTTCTGTCTCTCTCTGGTCTCTGATGTCCTGTCTCTCTCTGGTCTCTGATGTCCTGTCTCTCTCTGGTCTCTGGTGTTCTGTCTCTCTCTGGTCTCTGGTGTCCTGTCCCTCTCTGGTGTCCTCTCTGGTGTCCTCTGGTCTCCTGTCCCTCTCTGGTGTCCTCTCTGGTATCCTCTCTGGTGTCCTGTCTCTCTCTGGTCTCTGGTGTCCTGTCTCTCTCTGGTCTCTGGTGCCCTGTCCCTCTCTGGTGTCCTCTCTGGTGTCCTGTCTCTCTCTGGTGTCCTGTCCCTCTCTGGTGTCCTCTCTGGTGTCCTGTCTCTCTCTGGTGTCCTCTCTCTGGTGTCCTCTCTGGTGTCCTCTCTGGTGTCCCTCTGTGTCTCTCTGGTGTCCTCTCTGGTGTCCTCTCTGGTGTCCTCTGGTGTCCTGTCCCTCTCTGGTGTCCTCTGGTGTCCTCTCTGGTGTCCTGTCTCTCTCTGGTCTCTGGTGTCCTGTCCCTCTCTGGTGTCCTCTGGTGTCCTGTCCCTCTCTGGTGTCCTCTGGTGTCCTCTCTGGTGTCCTCTCTGGTGTCCTGTCTTACGTATACATTTTCGTCAAAGGAAAGCCACCTTTTTCACTGCTAACATTTCCCAGTGAAGTCCCAGCCATGAAGTCTCCCACACATTAGTAAATTGTCAAAACCAGCAAAAGGCCAGACGGGGACAGAGATTAGGAGATGTCGGGGCCCCGCGGAGTCTTGGATGTGACATTTGGTCCCCCCCCTCCATGAAGCCCTCTGCACAGTGGCCTGAGCCTGTCTCCTCTTCCATCTCCGAGTGGGCTTCTGTCACAGACCGGAGCGGGCCGGGCCTGACCTTTGGGTGCGCAGCGAGAGGGGCGTGGGGGGCGCAGGTGGGGGGTAAATGGACCCACGGCAGAAACAAAAGACAGACAAATATGAAGCGAGCGAAGGGAGCTAATGGAGCCCTAACAAGTACCTGTGCGAGTGTAGGTCAGCCAGTGCAGAATGGCACTTATTCAGGAAGGAGAAGTGAAGGAAAGTCTGTCCGGCTTTCACCACAGACCAAGACCCCAAGACCCTTTGAGGACCGGTCGCTCACGGACACCCCAGGTCTCCGTCTTGGGGCCGGATCCTCCACTTCTGCTTTCCTCTAATACATTAAGCTCACCCCAAAGCGGCGGCCTCCTTCTTATACATGGCTTCTACCTCAGTAACCTCCAGAGTTTATGGGTCTCATCGTGTTTCTAAATCACCTTAAGAGCCACGAACCAGGGAGTAGGCCTAGCTAGGCCTAGGATAGCACTAAACACATTCGCAGAAGGGTCCATCTCTCTCGTGTCTCCCGTCTCGCTCACTTTTCTTGTCTTTTGCTGTATTTGACTCCTGTGGATAACACTAAACACATGTGCTCGAGAGTCTGCGGTGCTTCCGTGTCTCTCGTCTCGTGGTCACAAATGCACGGGTGAAGGCAGGTCGCGCTCCTGGGAGTCCCTTTGCTTGTGGAGCTATAATCAGATCAGTGTCGTGTCCGCGGGGCCCCGTCGGCTCTCATCACTGCACACTCACAGCACACAGTCAGGGGCCCCGGGTGCAGCCCCGACACAGAGGAATCGCGTGAGCTCCTGTCTCTGCAGCAACTGGACATCATTCTACAACAACATCTTTAGTTCACTTTCTGTTGTCGAGATCAAACGGATGTTCTTATTTTCTGATCATGCTAAAGTTAGAGATGTTATACTTAGTTCCTGTTTCCTTCTGGGATGTAACATTGAAATGTCTCCACCGTGGGACAAATAAAACATCCCTTAATCTTAAACTTTTAGGTCACAGCCCCACAGCGCCCCCTCAGGTCTGACAATAACATTACACTTCACATAAGACCCGCCTTCTTTGAATCTTTGGACTGAGAGGTGATTGGCTAAGTCAGGGAGGTCCTCTCAAACAAGTTATAAAGGTAAAAATAGAATAAGGCTTTTTAAGGAAATACAAAATCTACAAAACATTTCTTAAAATAACGACCATATACATAATAGTTCATGATTCCACATTCGAAAACAAGTCAAATGCAAAAGTTAGTCTCAGGGTTGAGTTCAAGGGCCCCACTGGATTCTTGTCTCTCCTGTGGGACGAATAAAGGGTCATCTTCCTGAAAACGTGAGACAGGCCTCTTCTCTGACTATGTTTAAAACCAGGTTCCTAACAGTCCTGTTTCGCTGTGAATACAACTGAGGGATTTTATATTTTCATCTTTCTTTTTATACTGTGATTATGTGTGAATTTTAATGCTTTGTATAAGTAAGTCATCTTTATTTATATAGCGCTTTTGTACGGACCAAGGTCACCCAAAGTGTTTTATAATGTTCAGAGTTTCATTCTCTCCACACACACTGGTGACAGGAGCGAGACGCCCAACACACTGGTCCAGAGAGAAACCAGATTATTTCCATCTGGTTTAGTTCATCACTCTGAGTATGAACTGTGCGATACAAATAAACTTGCCTCTGCCTCTTACCTTATCTCCTTTCCCCGGTCGTGGCTCTTCCTCCCGGTCCCCTGCCGGTCTCTGCGACACCACTTGCCCAGAGGGAGTGCATCGTGGTGGGGAGGCCGCCTTGGCTCTCAGCGGCCCTAAGTGGCCCCGGCTGTTTGCCTCTTGGCGTGTTTGTGTCGGCTTCCTTGGAGGGTGGACTTCGGCGCAGCACGCCACGGCGCTTATCAAGATGTCGGCGAGGCTCCGTGCCCATGCGGTGCAGTAGTCCGCCGCGCGCTTTTGTATTGACGAAAGGTCCAGGTATGACCTTCTAAGATGACATTATTTGGCATCGATTGGCCGCCGTGTGATCTCGGGTCAGCCGGAGAGGGCCATTGTCCGTCCGGCAAAGACTCGCAGGTGCCCAGAGTTCCTGCGGGAGAGTGGAGAAAACAATCAGCTTTTTTGTCAAATCAGCGGGAAAATTTCACACCAGGCTCGGAGCAAAGGGCAAATGTTTTTTTGTTCTAAGGCTACATTAAAAACATGAATATTTGAGCGAGCGCGCGGCGGGAAATGGCCACAAATGTCACTGCTTTCACCGAATTAGACAAATGTTCTGTCTTCAAATTACCGGCACGACTCGGACCCTTCGTGTTTAGCTCTGCAGCCGACGGCAACATTTGAACTTTTCTACACTAAAACAATTGTCAGTTTTAAAAACCTGGGAATTAGGTTGAGTTGTGTTTTAAGATAGAAACAGTCCCTTTTCCCCCAGCCCTACATGGTCCTACATGGCCCTACATGGTCCTACATGGTCCTACATTGTCCTATATGGTCCTACTCTACTCTACTCGACTCTACTCTACTCTACCTTGTTGCATTTCCATTATACTTTAGGATCTATACCGTATTCTATCAACTAACCCACAACAGTTTTTACTAACCATGGCTTCCAGCAGCACTCGGCCTGGATAGACCCAGGACCAAGAGGGACTAAAGAAGGACCTGGGACTGGTTACACAGGACCCAATATCAGGGTAGAGTAGAGTAGAGTAGAGTAGTGTAGAGTAGAGTAGAGTAGAGTAGAGTAGAGTAGAGTAGAGTAGAGTAGAGTAGAGTAGTGTAGAGTAGAGTAGAGTAGTGTAGAGTAGAGTAGAGTAGTGTAGAGTAGAGTAGAGTAGAGTAGAGTAGAGTAGAGTAGAGTAGTGTAGAGTAGAGTAGAGTAGAGTAGAGTAGTGTAGAGTAGTGTAGAGTAGAGTAGAGTAGAGTAGTGTAGAGTAGAGTAGAGTAGAGTAGTGTAGAGTAGAGTAGAGTAGAGTAGAGTAGAGTAGAGTAGAGTAGAGTAGAGTAGAGTAGAGTAGAGTAGAGTAGAGTAGAGTAGTAGAGTAGAGTAGAGTAGAGTAGAGTAGAGTAGAGTAGAGTAGAGTAGAGTAGAGTAGAGTAGAGTAGAGTAGAGTAGAGTAGAGTGTAGTAGTAGAGTAGAGTAGAGTAGAGTAGAGTAGAGTAGTAGTAGAGTAGAGTAGAGTAGAGTAGAGTAGAGTAGAGTAGAGTAGAGTAGAGTAGAGTAGAGTAGAGTAGAGTAGAGTAGAGTAGAGTAGAGTAGAGTAGTGTAGAGTAGAGTAGAGTAGAGTAGAGTAGAGTAGAGTAGAGTAGAGTAGTGTAGAGTAGTGTAGAGTAGAGTAGAGTAGAGTAGAGTAGAGTAGAGTAGAGTAGAGTAGAGTAGAGTAGAGTAGAGTAGAGTAGAGTAGAGTAGAGTAGAGTAGAGTAGTGTAGAGTAGAGTAGAGTAGAGTAGAGTAGAGTAGAGTAGTGTAGAGTAGTGTAGAGTAGAGTAGAGTAGAGTAGTGTAGTGTAGAGTAGAGTAGTGTAGAGTAGAGTAGAGTAGAGTAGAGTAGAGTAGAGTAGAGTAGAGTAGAGTAGAGTAGAGTAGAGTAGAGTAGAGTAGTGTAGTGTAGAGTAGAGTAGAGTAGAGTAGAGTAGAGTAGAGTAGAGTAGAGTAGTGTAGAGTAGAGTAGAGTAGAGTAGAGTAGAGTAGAGTAGAGTAGAGTAGAGTGGTCTGGGTGCAGCGTGGCTGTGCTCGGAGCAGCAGATGTGGTTTTTAGAAGCAGTGCTAACACTTTATGTCTGTTTTTAGTCATAAGAAAACAGATGTCTTCTTTGAGTGAAATGACACTCGAGAGACCGCGGCGTTTATGGAAGTCGTAACCGCCACAACGACGACAAAACCCACATCTGACACACACTCTGCTTTGTGATGTCACACGCCGCAATCACCACCACTGGGAGGTTTGACAACACAACTGGGAAGTTTGACAACACAACTGGGAGGTTTGACAACACAACTGGGAGGTTTGACAACACAACTGGGAAGTTTGACAACACAACTGGGAGGTTTGACAACACAACTGGGAGGTTTGACAACACAACTGGGAAGTTGGACAACACAAGATGGAGGTTCAGAGGTTTCTTCACAACGAGGTTTCTCACTTTTCTCCCTCTGGGTTTGAGAGTTTCTCTTCTGATGCAGGAGTCTGTTGGAGTCTAACAAGAACGACTGATCCAGGATCTCCCCATGGTCCAATACCATGTGGTCTCTCCCTATGGTCCAATACCATGTGGTCTCTCCCTATGGACCAATACCATGTGGTCTCTCCCTATGGTCCAATACCATGTGGTCTCTCCCTATGGTCCAATACCATGTGGTCTCTCCCTATGGTCCAATACCATGTGGTCTCTCCCTATGGTCCAATACCATGTGGTCTCTCCCTATGGTCCAAAGCCATGTATTTTCACAAATGTTAGGAAAAAAACGCACTCTCCACTTTTGGAACTAAACTCTCTGGTCTTTTTGGGAGGACTATCAAATTAACTGGTAACCTACATGGTATTCCAGAACAACCCTGACAAACCTCAGTGAGGGAGCAGCGTCTGCAGTCAAAGCTTGTGGCAGTAAAGTGTGGATTTAAAGATGACGACAAGAGACACTAAAATCCCCACAAAATCCGATCTTTGTGAAAGCTGTAGGTTCTCTGTCAGGTTCTCTGTAGGTTCTCTGTAGGTTCTCTGTCAGGTTCTCTGTCAGGTTCTTAGTCAGGTTCTCTGTCAGGTTCTCTGTAGGTTCTCTGTAGGTTCTCTGTAGATTCTCTGTAGGTTCTCTGTCAGGTTCTCTGTCAGCTGAGGTCGAGCTGTTTTAGTTTACATTGAGTTCTATAAGGTAAATGTCTGGGTAGCCCACGTGAATTTAGTCTGGTTTAGTCCTCAGACCCTCCATGTCCTCAGACCCTCCATGTCCTCAGACCCTCTGTCCTCAGACCCTCTGTCCTCAGACCCTCCATGTCCTCAGACCCTCTGTCCTCAGACCCTCCATGTCCTCAGACCCTCTGTCCTCAGACCCTCCATGTCCTCAGACCCTCTGTCCTCAGACCCTCTGTCCTCAGACCCTCTGTCCTCAGACCCTCCATGTCCTCAGACCCTCCATGTCCTCAGACCCTCTGTCCTCAGACCCTCCATGTCCTCAGACCCTCCATGTCCTCAGACCCTCCATGTCCTCAGACCCTCCATGTCCTCAGACCCTCTGTCCTCAGACCCTCCATGTCCTCAGACCCTCCATGTCCTCAGACCCTCCATGTCCTCAGACCCTCTGTCCTCAGACCCTCCATGTCCTCAGACCCTCATGTCCTCAGACCCTCCATGTCCTCAGACCCTCTGTCCTCAGACCCTCCTGTCCTCAGACCCTCCATGTCCTCAGACCCTCCATGTCCTCAGACCCTCCATGTCCTCAGACCCTCCATGTCCTCAGACCCTCCATGTCCTCAGACCCTCCATGTCCTCAGACCCTCCATGTCCTCAGACCCTCCATGTCCTCAGACCCTCCATGTCCTCAGACCCCCACCTCCATGTCCTCAGAGACCCTCCATGTCCTCAGACCCTCCATGTCCTCAGACCCTCCATGTCCTCAGACCCTCCATGTCCTCAGACCCTCCATGTCCTCAGACCCTCCATGTCCTCAGACCCTCCATGTCCTCAGACCTCAGACCCTCCATGTCCTCAGACCCTCTGTCCTCAGACCTCTGTCCTCAGACCCTCTGTCCTCAGACCCTCTGTCCTCAGACCCTCCTGTCCTCACCTCTGTACCCTCTGTCCTCAGACCTCCATGTCCTCAGCCCCTCATGTCCTCAGACCCTCTGTCCTCAGACCCTGTCCAGACCTCGTCCTCAGACCCTCCATGTCCTCAGACCCTCCATGTCCTCAGACCCTCCATGTCCTCAGACCCTCGTCCTCAGACCCTCCTGTCCTCAGACCCTCCATGTCCTCAGACCCTCCTGTCCTCAGACCCTCTGTCCTCAGACCCTCCATGTCCTCAGACCCTCCATGTCCTCAGACCCTCCATGTCCTCAGACCCTCCATGTCCTCAGACCCTCCATGTCCTCAGACCCTCCATGTCCTCAGACCCTCCATGTCCTCAGACCCTCCATGTCCCTCAGACCCTCCATGTCCTCAGACCCTCTGTCCTCAGACCCTCCATGTCCTCAGACCCTCTGTCCTCAGACCCTCCATGTCCTCAGACCCTCTGTCCTCAGACCCTCCATGTCCTCAGACCCTCCATGTCCTCAGACCCTCCATGTCCTCAGACCCTCCATGTCCTCAGACCCTCCATGTCCTCAGACCCTCTGTCCTCAGACCCCCATGTCCTCAGACCCTCCATGTCCTCAGACCCTCTGTCCTCAGACCCTCCATGTCCTCAGACCCTCTGTCCTCAGACCCTCTGTCCTCAAACCCTCTGTCCTCAGACCCTCCATGTCCTCAGACCCTCCATGTCCTCAGACCCTCTGTCCTCAGACCCTCCATGTCCTCAGACCCTCTGTCCTCAGACCCTCTGTCCTCAGACCCTCCATGTCCTCAGACCCTCTGTCCTCAGACCCTCCATGTCCTCAGACCCTCTGTCCTCAGACCCCCATGTCCTCAGACCCTCTGTCCTCAGACCCTCCATGTCCTCAGACCCTCCATGTCCTCAGACCCTCTGTCCTCAGACCCTCCATGTCCTCAGACCCTCTGTCCTCAGACCCTCTGTCCTCAGACCCTCCATGTCCTCAGACCCTCTGTCCTCAGACCCTCCATGTCCTCAGACCCTCTGTCCTCAGACCCTCCATGTCCTCAGACCCCCATGTCCTCAGACCCTCTGTCCTCAGACCCTCCATGTCCTCAGACCCTCTGTCCTCAGACCCCCATGTCCTCAGACCCTCTGTCCTCAGACCCTCCATGTCCTCAGACCCTCCATGTCCTCAGACCCTCTGTCCTCAGACCCTCCATGTCCTCAGACCCTCTGTCCTCAGACCCTCTGTCCTCAGACCCTCCATGTCCTCAGACCTCATGCCTCAGACCCCCATGTCCTCAGACCCTCTGTCCTCAGACCCTCCATGTCCTCAGACCCTCCATGTCCTCAGACCCTCCATGTCCTCAGACCCCCATGTCCTCAGACCCCCCATGTCCTCAGACCCCCATGTCCTCAGACCCTCCATGTCCTCAGACCCTCCATGTCCTCAGACCCTCCATGTCCTCAGACCCTCTGTCCTCAGACCCCCCATGTCCTCAGACCCCCCATGTCCTCAGACCCTCCCTCATGTCCTCAGACCTCTGTCCTCAGACCCCCTCCTGTCCTCAGACCCTCTGTCCTCAACCTCCATGTCCTCAGACCCCCATGTCCTCAGACCCTCTGTCCTCAGACCCTCCATGTCCTCAGACCCTCTGTCCTCAGACCCCCATGTCCTCAGACCCTCTGTCCTCAGACCCTCCATGTCCTCAGACCCTCCATGTCCTCAGACCCTCTGTCCTCAGACCCTCCATGTCCTCAGACCCTCTGTCCTCAGACCCTCTGTCCTCAGACCCTCCATGTCCTCAGACCCTCTGTCCTCAGACCCTCCATGTCCTCAGACCCTCCATGTCCTCAGACCCTCCATGTCCTCAGACCCTCCATGTCCTCAGACCCCCCATGTCCTCAGACCCTCTGTCCTCAGACCCTCCATGTCCTCAGACCCCCCATGTCCTCAGACCCTCCATGTCCTCAGACCCTCCATGTCCTCAGACCCTCCATGTCCTCAGACCCTCCATGTCCTCAGACCCTCCATGTCCTCACACCCCCATGTCCTCAGACCCCCATGTCCTCAGACCCTCCATGTCCTCAGACCCTCCATGTCCTCAGACCCTCCATGTCCTCAGACCCTCTGTCCTCAGACCCCCCATGTCCTCAGACCCCCCATGTCCTCAGACCCTCTGTCCTCAGACCCTCTGTCCTCAGACCCCCCATGTCCTCAGACCCTCCATGTCCTATTATCAGAGAGGAAAACTCTACAAACCCAGTAGAAGAAAATAAGAAACTCTGGATATAGCAAGAGGAACCCCACGGACAGCGAACCCAAAACAAAATTCTCTTCGGCGCATTCAAAGCATTCAAAGCATTCAAAGCATTCAAAGCATTCGGCGCATTCAAAGTTGCGGTGATGTAGGAGGCTGGGCCCAGGACAAGCGCAGGTCAGTAGTGAAAATGAGGCCTGAGCTCCCTGTGGAGAACGGTCGCGTTTGTTTTTCAGAGACGAGGACGTGGAGGCTGGACTTGTGCGCGAGTGCAGTGGTGCGAGGTGCGTTTGCTGCGCGTGTCCAAGGAGCCGAGCGGTGCATGTGGCTGTGTAATGCGACGCAGCTGCGGCCCGAGCTCACACTCTTGGACAAATGAGGATTACCTGCATGACCTCCTTCGCAGTCTCAACCTGAGCAGCAAAAACAGCATCGCAATTATCCCCGCTACGCACACGGGGGTATTGTTGTGTGCGCCCACCCCCCCGCCCGCCCGCTCCGACCCCACGTCCTGTCGCGCTCGTCCAGGCCTTAATGCGTCCGTCCAGAGGGAGATGGGGAGAGCCAGTGGAGGGGAAAGAGGAGGCCAGCTGACAGAAGGGGCTCCGGGGCCTCTTTTCCTCCGACTTGGTGCAGTCCCTGTAGAGAGCGCCGCGCTGTAGACACGGAGCTGCGCCACCGTGACCGCTCTTCACAGCTGCACGACGACGGGAACGTGGAAGATATGTCAAACTTTATCAGCACGCACACGTTGGAAAAAAACTTGGAAAGAATAAGACAAAAATATGTGAAAACTGCTTAGAATAATAAAAATGTTCTGACAATAGAAGAAGATATGACTTAAAAATAATAACAAACGACTTGATTCTAGTTTAAAAACAAGTTTCAAGTATAATTTTTTTTATTTTGTTGATGTTTTTGAGAAAAGTTTTCTTAAAATACTGCATCACAAACTTATTTTATCCAAACAAGAAAAGAAGAAGCTTAAAAACTCACTGCTCAGACGGTTTTCTCTAAGATTATGTATTATAATCTTAAAAGTACAGGGAAAGGAGTTTACACATGGTAAGACCAGACGTACATGTAGGAAATGACCATGGACCAGAGTTTACACATGGTAAGACCAGACGTACATGTAGGAGATGATCATGGACCAGAGTTTACACATGGTAAGACCAGACGTACATGTAGGAAGTGACCATGGACCAGAGTTTACACATGGTAAGACCAGACGTACATGTAGGAGATGATCATGGACCAGAGTTTACACATGGTAAGACCAGACGTACATGTAGGAGATGATCATGGACCAGAGTTCACACATGGTAAGACCAGGGTAGAACTACCATCACTGGGAAAATAAAAGTGTAGTGAAATGTTCGCGTCCCGGATTCAAGAGTTGATGGTGCAGCTACTTTGGCGACTAAAGAGTGAAGTTCAGTCGCCTGCCTTTAATTGAGTTTCCTCCTTCTCCATAATTTGTTTGTTCTTTTCTCTCAGATGTTGTTTCTTGGTCCAAATGTATTATGATTTCAGACTTCTGATAATTCTTCCAGAAATATTCAAGAGGTGGTCATCTCAGAGCAGCCCTCAGAATGCAGCTCTGTGTGTGCAGCTTCTACACACACACACACGCACACACACAAACACACACACACAGACACACGCACACACACAAACACACACACACAGACACACACACACACACACACACACACACACACGCACACACACAGACACACACACACACACACACACACACACACACACACACACACACACACACACAGACACACACACACACACACAGGCCTGGGGTCAGGGGCAGATGTGGCTCGGTGCGGCAGGTCTGGCCTCGGGTCGTGATTAGCACAGTGCGCGCAGACCTCCGCACAGTCGCCCTGAGCAGAGTGTGTGTGTGTGTGTGTGTGTGTGTCTGTGTGTGTCTGTGTGTGTGTGTGTGTATCTGTGTGTTTGTCGCCTGCTTAATTGCACAGCAGGTATCCGCTTGACAAGATTTCTTGCAAGAACACCTACACAAGTGGCTGCTTAATGAGCGCACTTAGAGCTGCCCCGAGGCGACTGCGGCGACCGGAGAAAGGCCGCGGCGCTCGCTTCGCCGACCGTCACGGCGCCCGAGGAAATGCACACGTGCGAATGAAAGATGGAGCCTTCGTCGCGGCTCGATGACTCTTTCAT